ATATATATATATATATATATATATATATATATATATATATATATGGTGAGGTTGTTTGTTAAATCAAATTGTAAATCGAGTTTTATGAAACTGATTTAGTTCGTTAATTCGATCAATAAGTTAAATATTGAATTTACTTAATCACTGTAGTTAGATATGCTCTGTAAGCCTAAATTGCATGGGAAGTTATATTTCATTGGAGATATTAAATATCCTCCTACCGTTTGGCATGGGAAGTTATATTTCATTGGCATGTAACCTTTCCAAAAAATGTATCATAGACTAAACTTTGCATTTTAGCAAGGAAAATTTCCTTATTTAAAGCAAACTTTTCTGATAAGTGTTGATTGGCAGTTTTGGAGTGTTTTTAGGATTCTAGTTAGTTGGTTATATATAGGCCTATAGAATCCATTTTCTTATTCATTCTATCGTATTTTCTTCTTTCGCCAATGGCATTGTTGATCAAGAAGCCTTTGTAACACTCGTATGTTATCGAAATTAATAATGGTGTCTTGTGGTTTTCGGTTTTAAGTTTACCCTCAAATTTCATGTGTTATCGGTTGTGTTCTTTGTGCTCATCATATTACAACAAGTTGTATAAGATACTATAATCCTAAAATCAATACCCACATAGTCGACTTTTTTTGTACCCTTACAAAGCTTATTCATAGTCAAATTCCCTCTTAACCGTAATCAACTTTTATAAACCCTATAAGGGTTTTCCATAGTCGATTTTCTCCCACTATCTACACAATATTAAATCTATTTAATCAATCTTTATAGGACTTTTCTAATTACAAAATTTATCTAACATATAAACCTGCAGCCTTATTGTCATTTTTCTCATAGCTTTTTACAAATTATATTTCGATTTCTTACATGGTTTCCATAAGGTATGTTGTTATGTTTTTCGATTGTGACACCAGGTTTTTAGGTTTTCTCTGGCAAATGAAGATGAGATCTATTTAGGATCAGGTTAATTATGATGATACATTGTATTTGTCTGGAGGGAAAACTTAAGCTACTTGGCCTCCGATGAGAATAAGAATAATCATAAAGCGTCGCTGAAGTCCAACTTTACCTACACAAAAACATACTTCAAGAAGACATTGTAGTTGCTTTATGGTCAAACCTTTAATCGATTCTTGTGAAGAGGGATCTCACACGTAAGATTCATTTGAACTTATTTACCCACATATTTAACTTCAAAAACATCATATCTGACTTAGCTACTATGGAGATAAAATACGATGAGGAAGACCTTTGATACTTTTATGCTTTCTTCCAAACTCAGACTCCGACATCCGTTGCACCACAGTTTATAGTCACGACACCCATACTTTGAATGAAATCTATCAAGCCTTATACTCAAAGTAAAAAAAAATGAAACAACCATTTTTATCTAAAGATTCAAGCATTTATCAAACCGAAGGGCTATCGGTTTGGAGTCAATATCCAAAGAAAAAGAAAAAGGTTCTTTGAGTAAAAAGGGTCGATACAAATACAAAGGGAAAGGCAAAGACAAGACAAGACGTACATGTATTTTCACAAAGATTGTTATGAGATTTCTTAGTGCTATAAAATGTTGTTGGATTAAGGTGTCTAAGGTCTTAGTTAAATTGGTATAAACTTAGTGAATAAAAGTAAAGTCCTTTTTGGGTTGCCCTGATAACTAAGAAATAGCTACGATTGATATATTAAGAGAGAGATAAAATGTTTATTAATATATTATATGATTAATATATTAATTAGAAATAGTAAATAATTAATTAAGAATTAGCTGGAAATTAATTTTGGATTAATTAAATTAATTAAGGGTATAAGGATTAAATTGCAATTTTTCAACAGCTGAGCAAGTGAGAAAATTCTAGAACCTCGCTAGAGGTGGACGGTTTTAAGGAGCCTCCTTAGGGTTTTTTGAATCATCCATCTACTAATAAGGAAAGTAATTTGAGTCAAGTTAAAATATTAGTATTTTAATATTCAAATTACGGTTTCCTCCAACTATAAATAGGGACATATTCAAGGCTTCAAAAACCCTTGTTATCATTGTGAATTTAAAAATTCTTTCTCCTTTGTCTCTCTAATTTTCGATCCTAGGGTTTCCTAGGTTTTAATTGTGACACATTAGAGGCTACCATATTATTGGAGCTAGCTTCCCAAGAAGGTTTTCAAGAGAGTTGTTTGCATCATTTGATTGTTTCAAAAGGTATGTTTTCTAACTCATGTGATTTTCGATTTAGATCGGTTAGAGTTTGTTTCATAAAGTGTGTAGCTATAACTAGAGAAAATATCATAATATTCTAGGTTGCATGTACTCATAAGTGTTTATGTAAAATTCCGTTGTACAAAGCTTTTTGTAGTAACCTAGAAAACCCATCATGGGTATTAGAGCCTAGGATTTTCTATTATTTGTGCATATTATGAAATTGGAAAGGAATACCTAAAGAGCTAAAAAAAACTTGTCAATCACAGGGTGCGACGTGCCTAGCCATATGCACGACGCGCTTTTAGCTACAGTAGGGCTTCAGGATTTACTTGCATTTTCAAATGATAGGATAATTACTAGACCTTGATTGTTATTTTAATTGATTAAAATCAAAACCTTTAATCTAGATAATTGGATAACCATGATTTGAAAATTGAGGAAGTAAATAAATGGATTAACATTAATTAATTAAAAGTCTAATTAAGATAATCACTTAACTCATAAAAGATTTAATTCAATTAATTAAATGTTTATTTAAAAGATAAATATTAAATCTAAATTTATTTAAAATATTAGTTAATTAAAAATTAATTAAGTTAATTAAATCTAAACCTTGTATTATTAAAATGTTTTAAAATACACTGTTATATATATATATATATATATA